AATATATATATATATATATATTAAGTATATTGAAACAGTTAGATATCTCGTGTACTATTTAAAATAACGAAACAATGAAAACTTGAGTGTATTGCAGGGTCATCTTATATCGTGAAATATTGTGGGGAATTTGTCTACATTATGCGTAGATCTTTGTTATATTCTCGGAAAAAAATAAAAAAAAGAGCGATAAGATAACGAGGGTGATAGATAAGCATAGAGATAGATAAAGGATACGCGAGCCATCGTGAACTTATGCGGGAGATATGGACAAATATATATGTATAATATATATATTGCTCATAATGCTTATATACATTATGTATATATACTGTATAACATATGTAAGTGAAGTAATCGTCGGAGGAAAAAGGATCAGATTTATCCTTTTTCTTGGAGGAAGAAAGTGAGAACATACTTCCGATAAAGAGATACACGTGTAAAGAGAGAATGAAAGAAAAAAAATGCAATTCCTTTGCAAATGACCTTTGCATCTTTGTGCAACACATTGCTAAGAATATGTAACAAGGAATAAATAGAAATAATGTTTATATGAATTATTATGATTATTAATGATACTATCATACGTTACGAGGGTAAAAATTAAGAGTTGATTCATGCTTTTAAGAGATTTAGTTTCATGCTTGTTTAAAAATAAAGACAAAGATTAATGGCAAGCAGTCAGATCCGTGCGTTCCGAGCGTTGTGAGTCGAAGCGAATTGTATGCATCGATGTAAGGATGGTGTTTTGGACACCATCGTCGTCGTTGTTCATCGCTAATGTTACGTTGCATCTAGAATCGCGCAGGGTGTCGTACGTCATCCATCTAACATATTAAACATCTAGGCGATCTGCGCTTCGGCTCAGAGCGAAAAAAAACGTGGTGAGGGAAAAAAAAGATTCAAAATATTATTTACTTTAGATAGAAGGAAAATATGTATAGAATTTTATTATGCACCATTGTAATATTATGTATCCCAGTTGTGACACAATATACACTGGTGTTATGTTAAATGTGGAAATTGCGCGTACCAATCTTTTGTTTGTGTGCTCCCTAGTGCCGTCATACAACAAATTATTTAGCTTTTATTTACTCGTATTTAGCAAAATTAATTAACAAATCTTTGGATTTTCTGTCTCTTATGCGCAGATTGACGAATGTGTTTACAAAATTACATTTGTACATGGAAAAAGAGCGACGTGTCTTTTTTCTATCTTAAAAATAAAACTTATTCTCTAAGTTTCACACATTGTTGTGTAAAAGAAGGCCGTCACCATCACTTTTCTTAAACATATAACACTGCTGATAAGTAGAATTTTGCAGGGCTGTGTAAGTAACGGGATACTTGTAGATCAGACTTTGTTTCGCCTCTTGCTCCGTTGCAAATTTATGCGAATTTTTACGAGCTGTGCAAAGAAAGTCGATTTTATTCCAAATAGAAATTAGCAAAAACAGATGCAACTATAATTCGGATATATAGTTACTTATATCGGAAATGTATAATTCATATAATATCAAGAGAAAAGAGAGATGCATCTGAATATGTACTGACAAACTTAATTTTAATATATATACAATTTCTGCGCTCTTGAAAAGCGCAAAGAAGCGCTGGAAACTTTTCAGTGTAGTGCGAGACAATAGTTTACTTGCTCGATATTGTTATTTACCTTCGTTGATAAAGAAATTAGCGAAATATTGAGCTGCTAAAGTGGCATTACATCCGTGAGGTATATTTTTTCCAGTCACCCATTCGTAGAGATTCTTCTCCGGATGGAATTGTACTCCGTAGAATGGATAGCGCTTATGTTCTAGTGTTGAGATGAATTCTAAGCCTTCTTTATCGCGATTCAATGACAACACATGAAACTCGTCGGTTAAATTAACACGGTGTAAATCCTGAAATAGAGAACGGCGTGTGTATGTATAATTTGATATATATTGCAATATTATCAATTCCTTGCGTAACACCAATATTTTAACGTCTTTGTTATACATTATAACTTCTAAATTTGCATTCGCTTAAGTAGTAATTTCTTAAAAAAGAAAACACTTGCCTCCTTCGTAACGCAAAACTGATGATAATTTGCCGTGACATTTTCCTCACTCAAAATCTTCACAATATCCAACGGGGCCTGCTTAAACAAATTGGCTTCTCGAAAATCTGAAAAAAGTTACAATTTTTTTTCTTTTTTTTTTTTTTTTAGAGTTCTAACAAAGGAACTATGATGAGGATGATTTTAAAGTTTATAACGTCACTCATACAAATATAATTTTTTCACGATATTTATAGAAAATATGCATGATTCTAAATAGATAATTTCGACAAGAATTAACAATTGCTTGTATTTCATAAAGAAATAACTTGTTTTAGAAAAGAAATATTTACCACGCGTGAATTCTAGTGGAAGAGGCTGATTTTTACTGGAACATGATGTCCTGTGTTCGACGCCATTTGCCGCGACATATGTCAATAACTCGAAGCCGAGGCAGATGCCAAGTATAGGAAAATGTTCGCCTCTCTCGTTGATTCTTTTCGCGATTCTATCAACGGAAAAAATGTATATATATATACAATTTAAATTTTTTGTTTTTAGAACATTACATTGACATTATTGTTTATTTTTTATTTATAGTAACCTGTAAATCGCGGCACCTGCGTCGGCATATCCTTCTTTCTGAAAAAAATATGTTGCACCTCCTGGCCATAGAACTCTATAAAAATATCAATTTTACGAGCATTACAAAAGTATGCCTAGTGGAATGTTTTAAAAATACATATCCGTTCTATACGTACCCGTTGACTTTATTTAAAATATCCTCATAATACGAATCATTTTCGCCAATCCTACATGAAATTGCGCATTATAATCCGTGACTTAATAAATGAACCTGATATGTATAATATCTATTTGTATCTAACGTTTTACCATATCTGCTTGTATACCTCTCTCTGAATCTTAACTTATAAAATGCGTTTATCTTCAATCGTTTGCAATATAAAATATTTGTTTTATGATTTATAAAATTAAGAAAATATCCTTTCACAAAAAGATTTAGTTTTGCTAGAAAGCTTTTATTTCTAATGGAATTTTCACCACTAAATGATTTTCACATCCTATTATTTCTGATAAACAGAATTTTAATAAATAAATCGAAGAAGGGAGATTAAGTGTAAAAATACAAATTCTCATGATTACCAAATTGGAACGGGTCGAGCACCGGCACCTTCAACAAACTTTACGTACGATGCAGCAATGTAACTGTGATATTGATCAGGATATTTTTTGTTTAAATTATAACTTATTTCCTGCGTCAGAATACCTTGAAAAGAAATACATGCATAGTATTATTCACAGTTGACATCTTTGAAATACATAGAATGAGATTTAAAAGGATCGTCAAAATTTGATTTCTGAAAAAAATTGTAGCGTTCTTAGATTTCCAGCGTCGTTCTATCTTTGTTGTTTACTAAAAGTTGAACAAAAATAGGACGACACTCGTCTGCACACAAGTGATGTTTCCGAACGCAGCCCATAATTAATTTTTTGAATTAAATTTAAAGTTTATGTTGTGTATGTTGTGTTATTATATGCATAGAAAGATTAAAGTTTTATTTATATAAAAAAACAATTATTTTTTATTATTTAATCAAGATTTTGTACATGTCGCGTGTGTGTATATGTATGTATATATATATATATATATATATATATGCATGCGAGAAAGAAAGGTTAAGATTCATCAAAAGATGAAAGTATATCGAGTATCTTTTTCTTTTTTGGAAAATTAATGGATTTGAACAAAAGAACAAATGAAAAAAGATACTCGATATATTTTCATCTTTTGATGAATCTTAACCTTTCTTTCTCGCATGCATTTTGCAATTATTAAGATAAAATATGCAGCAATGTGTTAATTATTCGGCGTTTATCACGATTTCTTCGAGAAAACTTACCGATAATTGGCCGATCGTTCAACTCCTTTCCAGTCTTCACGACTGTAAAGGTAAATGTCGTAAATAAAGTCACCCACAGAATGTTCATTATGAAGAATATTAAAAGTATTGCTGTTAATACAATGTAGAGGAGAGTATGCATGCGTTATCTCATTGTCTTCAGTTTAATAACACTAAATTCTTATCTGTATTAGTTGTAATTGTTATCGTGTTTAAAATTCGTTAAGAAATCTGTTCACTGCGAGGAAAAATAATTATCAACGATTTATCGACATCTAGTGATTTTGAAACACTATTCTGGAGAGAATTGAAACGCATCTTATCGGAAGGAGAGCTTATCGTCTTGATGAAAAAAAAAAATCTCACGCAAATATGTATCTGTTATCTACTGATCATTATTATATAATCAACTTTTGTTGTACGATCGTAAATTATCGCGTCAAGTCGCAAAATGACGTTCTTGCCACAATGTGAAATAAAAATGCAATGATTTTTAATACAAATGCGATGATATACGTATCAGTCGTTTCTCATTAAATTTAGTATCGTCACCTCTCAACAGTACTCAGTCAACGCGGACGTGAAAATTATGCTATATTGTAGATAATTTCAATCAACATATACCAGGGAACAAAATCGCAAAGACAGCAAAGATGTTAATAACCGGTTCTTTCAAATATTACTCGGGTATTTGTTTATTTCGATATTAATTATAATTATAGGCAACCCCAAGTACTGAAAAACTCTATGGAATATGTACTTTCCAGTTAAATTAGATCGAAATTTTCGATTAATCGATTCTGTTTTTCATTCCGTGCCTAAAAATATTAAATGAGATAATTATAAGATAAGATCCGATGAGATCATTGATAACTATAAATATTTTATGGTACATATATATGCATGCATATTCGGGTAATATTTAAGATAATCGAGTAATCAAAAGTAATATATATGCGCGAATTTAAATAAGGACTAGATACTCGAGTAATCGAACACATATAGGGACAATCCGGTTCATATTCTCAGCATTAAAAGATAGCAGATCATCCAGTCTTAAATAAAGATTGGATAACATCTCTAACAGATGATACGCTCTCCGTCTCTCTGAGATTGTACTACAGTCTATTCTTCTAATATCCTCGAGCTAAAAAAGGACGAAAGTATCTATGTGTTATCTGGGACACAAGACATATTTACTATTCTTATGCATATTTTTTTTAAATTTATACTTTTAGCTCAGATAATGCGCATATGAAGCAGATGAAGCATGAGTAATAGGAATAGGAATTATATAAGCAGATGAAGCATGAGTAATGAGTAATAGGAATTATATCTCTTCTTCTCGAGAAAGATAATACGAATAATGTTCATGCTTTCAGGGACGATACATACATCTCACAATAGAGAAAGTGCTATTAAATATTGATGCACTTTTAAATATGTCTGTGTGAAAGCGCGAACTTTGAATAATCTGATTGACTAACTCTATTCAAGCGTTGTCCATTCAAAAATTATTATGGCCTTGATATTTTAATATTAAGGTTTTCATTTCCAAATGAATTTATTAGGAAAAATCTGTCATTAGGAGGTGATACGCCAATTCTCTAATGTCTAGTATAGTAATCATTAAGAAACAAGATGCATTTATAAGATTTCTTATATATAAAAACAATAAACGAAATTTCGTATTGTTATATTTATTACAGAAGTAACATACAATATTTTTAATCGTTGGAAATTTCCCTCAATAATCTAATCGTGAAAAATTATTTTACATATACAATATATTCTTTTAAAAAATGTTAGATTGTGCTTTAGGACTTTAGGATATTGTAATCGATAAAAAAAAATAAGAATAGATATAATGTACGTAGATAGATTAATTTCACTTGTGTATGATGGTCGATTCAGACAGAAATATAATTTATTATCGCGGTTATATATCACTTGATCAATAAAATGGTTCTGCTTATCGCGATTGTAGATGATAATGAAAAGCAGTTAACAAATGTAAAAGTGATCAATACATATTAAATTTCCAATGCTTCGCATTTTATCGTATAAGTTTTGCCAATATCTTGATCTACTAGATATACAATGTGTGTGTCCTAAGAACATTTAAAACCTAAAGAGGAAATTATAAGAAATAAATGCGACAATTATTTTTCTCACCGTATTCTTTTTCATCTATCATCTTGTATCGTTTTATGATATATAAATGTATATATATATTTGAGAGCGGTCCATTTTGCACTTCTAATTTACGCAGAGGTTAGTAGATGCCTTCTACAATGTTACTTTTCCTCTAATAGCATTAGCAGGAAGCGAATCATCCTTTTAAAGACTTCAATACATACGCATGCAATTAATATTCATGATAATAATACATCGCATGTGACATCCGATGAAATCATTGAATTCGTAGACTTTAAGTGGATCTCTGATGCATTAATGCATCGGTAACAATGTATATTATTATTATTGTCACCTACAAGAGTACGTGACGATCTATAAAATAGCACAAGATTGCATCTAAAAGACATTTTTATTATTTCACGGAATCAATAGATCACTTTCGAGTGTGTCAAAAAGAAAAAAAAATTATTGTTATAATTATTTATTCTTGTAAAAAGTCAAGTATATTAAGATATACGCATTAAAGGAAAATTATGTCTAATATCGATCGATTAGAAATTAATTTGTTTTTTACTCTAAAAAATTATTTATATATAAATTTATTGGTTAAAATAAAAATAATTGAGTGAAAGAAACTTTGACTGTTGTAATGCTAATTTCTGATTTGGAAAATATAAAAAAATGAAAATAATAATATAAATATAAATTCCTTTGTCGATTGTCTAATACATTTACATTTTCTATAGATTGGAATTATGCAAATTTTGACTTTAATATATGTACATACATAACATATATGATTTTATTTCGTTTTGTAACGCGGTTACGGGTTACGGGACAAAATAGCCATGTGTAATGAAGTTTCGCACACAATTATCAATGATTATTTGAACAATATGTGTCATTGATATTAATTTTATAACCGATATGTTGTAAGTTTATCATTTATATGAAATAAACATACTCTAAGAATTAGAAATTCTACAGCAAAATGAATAAAAATCTCAGATGAAAATTTAGACATTTGAAAAAAGTCATCTAGGATTGTTCTCAACAGTAACCAACTACTAATGTGGTCCGAACATGATTTAAATTTCTCTGTACCTAATACAATAAGTAATTTTCTCTGATATATCATCTATACATAATTAATTATAATTTATATAAATTTATATATAAATATTAGTAAATAGACATAATAGACAAATAATAATAAAAATAATATAAATATATATTAGATATTAATAATATAAACAACAATAATCTATAAATGTGATTTTCTCTTAATACATAATAATACTTAAGCAGATATATCGCACTTTATATTCTACTCATTTTTTTATTTATTGTGTTAGTGAGGAACTGTGTAAAACGTGCAATCGCATATAATCCATCTGTGGCTTGTGAAACCGCAAAAAACGATAATGTTATTCTCCGCGAAAATAATATTTCGCATAATAGATATGTCGTGCCTGTCAATCTGCGTCTTACATCTTGCGATACATCGTCAAAACTACAAGCATTTGAAGAGGCTGAGCAAGAACTTTTAAGCGATCTTAGCACATTGAAAAACGAAATAAAAACTAACGAAGAAGTACTTTCGCAAGATATTTGTCAGAATGCATCTAACAACTGGTCTCTGTCAGGATGCGATAAAAAAGATTCAGCCTTATCACTCGTGCAATTGACAGAAAAAGAGGACTTGTCTATTTCAACTGCGGAAATTCTTGAAAAATATTTTGCAATGTGTAATACAATTCTTTCCGATGACGCTCAGTATCTAATTAATCATGAAAGCACAGTCGAATCATCCGAAGAGCGAGATTGCATAAATGAAACACAAGAGAAATTCTTAATAAGCCAAGATTCAATTCCACTCGAACATAAATTGACATTAATCTTGCCTCGATGTAATTGCGCTACAAGTAAACTTTATTCGCGTTATTTTGAAAGTAATACTAAATGATTCTGAAATAAATATTAAATAAAGTATGATAATATTATATATGTATATATATAATATTAAGTATATAATTTCTTTTCATACGGATAATTTATTAAACGTGGTAAAATTGATAAGTTATCAAATATACTAATTGTAAAATCTAAAACTATATTCAATTAAAGATAGAGAAAGAAGTATGAGTTTGCAATATATAGCTACAAAGGCAATCTAGATGTTTCTTAATTTTACCTTGTTTATTGGAAATCGAAATATTTACATTGAAATCTTCTTCTCAAATTCAAAGATAATGAACAGTCCGGAAAAGTCGCTAAGAGCGATCAAAGATCTGAAGAATCAAATGAGAAGTCAGAATATGTAATGATTTTAGCCAGTGTCGCGGACATTTGTTGCAATGCTCTATTACATGATGCGAATTACGAAACACCGGAGGAATACGTCATGCATTTCCTAAAGTAAGAGTTTTATTTTTTTCTCTCATCTTAGCAAATTTTCCTAAGATAAATCTAAACAAGAGAAACTTAAAGATGAAAAACATAATATACATATAATATGTCTTTCTTGTGCAAGTTTCTTGTAAAGAATTACTAGATTTTATCTAGATCTGTCATTGTAATAGGAAAGAAAGCGAGGAACAATTCATTTTTCCATATTCCGATGAAAATACGTGTCAACGAACAAGTTGTTCCTTTTATCGTACAACTACGAAGAAACAAGTACAGGTAACTGTAACAATATTTATTAAAAATAGGAAAAATTTGCTCACAAGTTTAAATCTCAGAATTTCACTTTTTGTAATAAAATTTACGCAATTTTCCATGTGTGTGTTATGTGCATTTGTGTGTGACATTTCATTTAAAATGCTCATTTTCATTTCGATTATGACTTTTTCAACATTATAGAAGTTAACATATATGCATGTGCAAAAGAATATTATAAAAATAATTGAATAATTTATTTAATAAGACACCCAGACATCAGCACACATATCCAAAAAACGTTTAAGGGATGTCCTATATGGACATCCTAATATCTTTTGGACGTCTTTGGACATCCAAAGATGCCCAAAGACGTCCAACTGAGAATAGTAATAAAAAATAAAATATAAAATTGGCAATAAACCATTTATATATCTTATATATATGATTTATATAAAAAATATATTAGAACAGCAAAAAATGTTATTAATATTAAATGAAAATTTCTTAAGCACTCTATATATATATATATATTTTTAAGGAATCGTTTCAGAAAGAAAAATCGTTAATTATACAATTATTTAAACGGTTTTTTATGTAATAGTAAGAAATTTACAGTTTATTATTTTTATCGAGATATTTAATGTTGTATTGTGTCACATATGTGATATATAAATATATTACATGTTATGTATTTTTCGCCAAATACAACACATGTTGAATCGTTCCTGCGCAATATGTCATAAAACACATGCGTAAATTTTCTAAGAGCAAACAGTCTAGCCAACCTTTAGGCTTGTTTGATTTTAGAATAAGACCATAGATCAATAGCGGTAAGAAATTTGTCGGACGTATTGATTGGCTGATACTGCAAGAATCCTAGAACTCCCTATCAGACAGCCAATCGACAAACTTTTCGATAGATAATATCATTCGAAGCAATGTTCAATGTTAGAAGGTTAAAACATGTTATCCACCCATGATATAATTTTATATCATGACGCTACCTACACAAGCGCAAATATATTTTAACCGGATCGAACTGCGTGAAACTCTTCTAATATTTTTGATTTCTTTTCTATCAAGTTAAAAAGTTCAGCCTATTCCCCAATATAGTGTGGTACGACTGGTACGTTAGTAGATAGAAATCTTAGAAAGCGGAAAGAAGAAGAAGGTACTTTAACAGAAACCTTGTGCATTTTTGGAGAAAGTTTGAGGTTAGTTTTCTCACGTGGATATATACCTGCGTAAATACGCAGGTTGTTTTAACGCATTTAAAAATACAACTACAAGTTTTCTTTTTTTTCAGACTACGTTGAGCTAATCAAGTCATCTTTAAATTTGCCGTCACATCAACATTTTCCGAGATGGATGAAATATCGCCAAGAGCATACCCACTGGCTGATTCTTCGTTAACAACAAAGATATTAAGCTTGATCCAGCAAGCTATGAGCTATGGACAATTGAAGAAAGGGGCAAATGAAGCGACAAAATCTTTAAATCGTGGATTATCGGAATTTATAGTGATGGCCGCGGATGCCCAGCCATTGGAGATTTTATTACATCTGCCGCTACTATGCGAAGATAAAAATGTACCTTATGTATTCGTTAGAAGCAAGCAGGCATTGGGACGCGCCTGTGGAGTTTCTAGACCGGTAGTAGCTTGCTCTATAACGATCAACGAAGGCTCGCAATTAAAACCACAGATTAAAACAATACAACAAGAAATAGAACGACTTTTGATTTAAATGCACATTTACATCTATATTATTTTTATATATTAATAATTACTTTATAGGTAAAATATTAATAAAATATATGTAAAATATGTTAATAAACACATTATTAGCATTAACAATATCAATTTTTTATTGCTGTTTTATTTGTTTCGGATAATTAAAACATAGAGGTCTATTATACTTCATTATACTTTTAAATGGATCAATGACAAAATCTTTTATCAATGAAAATTTTTTGTATACGAGACAGATATTAATAAAAAATGTAATAAAATAGAAATTTATGTCTTGTGTGTAATAATTTGCAAAAATTAAATTAGGCAAAGCTCCAATAATTTATTTTGAAAATAATTTGTTTTAAAAAATATATTCCATTAATTTAATTTTACAGATATAATTCATTTAGCTTTAACATTTTAAAAGTCAATACCAATATATCATCTTTTTAAGATTTAGAATAATCAGTTTATGTATTATATTTTTTTTTAATGTTTACACACTGTAATTCTTTGTATAGCTTCTCTCTAAGGAATGCATTCATGTTGCTGATCTCACTGCAATGGAGCAATTATCTAACGAGTTACTAATCCTAATTCAACAAATGTATCACATGGAAAGAAGTATGTTGTTTATTGGGTTGATCGACGTGATAAGCTCAATGGAACAGAATCTAGCAGAATTTATAATACTTGCCGAGGATGCAACACATTTATTAGCGCCGTTAAATTTTCTCACACATTTGACAAAGTTTGCAGAAGCGAAAAGCATTCCATACATCTATGCATGTAAGAAAAAACAACTTGGCCAAGCATGTTGTGTATCTACTTACATCAGTGCAATTTCAATAAGGGTTGGACCTTCCTACTTCTCAGAAGAAATTAAAAAAATTAAATGCATGGTAATGAGTGCAGCTTCAAGAAAATCAAGCATAATCTCGAATGATATTTTGGATCCTTCTTCCAATTGAAACTATTGTATACTATAACTTTTTATATGACATAATAGATATACATAAAAAAAATATATATATTTGTTTACAAAAAATCTTATGACATTTATATAAAATATAATAAATTAGTTTCATGTGAGTATACATACAAACACATATAAAAAAAAAACGTAAAAGAAAAATTTTGTATTATACAAAATAAACATATCTATACATAAAATTATGTTAGTAAGAAAATCGAATTAAAACTGAAATTATTCTTGAAAACAAGGCAGAACATTAAATCTCCAGTTACCGTGCCAATCAGGGTAGAGCTGAGACGTAAACATATTCTTTTGAAACTTTTCACACAACTGTTGTTGCTTCTCATTATTAGGGAAATCTTGAAACCACATTTTCAATTGCTGGGCCAGCTCATACTCGTTCGCAAACACCAAACTGTTTTCGTTGTGTCTTACCAATTCTGATAAGCTAAACGATAAAACGAATATTTAATAAGAAAATCTACTCGGTAACAATATATTACATTAAATCATATTAATTCTCAATTTACCAATTAAAATTGTATGCGCAAACTGGCAAGCGACAACCAAACATATCAACAACTTTCATTGGTAAATCTAGTCCACTTGATGAAGTATGGAGGCATACTCCTAAGTCTGCACTAGCTGTTTCAAAAATCAACGGTTATTTAAAATATAAAGATATAAAAAATGTTTCTTATAAAAGAATATGTAATATTATATAAATGTTATACTAAAAAAAATTTGTTAATTATAGTAAAATCATGCGAATGTGTAATACCTAATATTTTCGGATAATCTTCATTTTCAAGCCATAGTGTTTTTACTTTGACATGTTTCCAATTTTTCAAATTAACAATAGCCATATAAAAGTCTTTTAAAGGTCCTTTTCCCGTTATTACACAGATTAAATCTGGTAAGTTCAATTCTCTGTTTTCACATGCATTTTCATATTCTATAAAAAATAGCAGAAATATAATTTTCATCTAGCATATGTAAAAAGATCATGATTAAAACAAATGCATATAGATGCACTACCTTGTAATGCATTTATAAGGATTGAGAAATCTTCATCCTCGGTCCAACTAGTACTGGATATAATGAAGGCAGATCTTCTGGGTGAATAAGGTACAAATACATTATACTTTTCAGCCAACTTTTGCAGAAATTCATTCTTTTCTGTCAAAGTTATAGGACAAAATTCATCTGCTGGCTTGTCATATAGAACCTTAGCACTATAATTATAAATCTTATTATTAAATATGCCATTTGCTTTTAAAAATATATTTATACAGCAATGTATAAAACTGTTGAAATATATTTCAAGTGGGTCTTAGATATAAATATATGTTATATAAACTATATAAGATTGATGTAAGATAATTTTAAGATAGTTAGATAAAATAGTTTTGTGAAATAATTATTTTCTATAGAAAAAGATTTGATAAATATTACTAACTGGATACCCCAAGTTTTTTCCAAATCTTCCTTCATAGCCTTGGTGACACAAAAATTATTCTTTGCTCTACGACCAAATATTTTCTCGATACTTCTTGCCAGACTAACTAGAATATGATCTTTTCCCAGGCTTAACGCCATAAGGGAATGCGCATAATTGTGCCAATCGATTATAAACTGTGTGTTCATTACTATGCAATAAAGCCAACATATTGGTATTGTTGGTATCGCAGGTGGATTCTGCATTATTAAGGAACCTGATATGTGTTTTCTAACTAATAATTGTAAAAGATCAACGGTCTGCCATGCCACTTTTACTATATAGCACAGAAGACGTGGCAATGCTAAAAGAATAAAAAATATAATTGTTTTGATATACTATGTCTTTATATAAACAAATTATAGGAAAAACGGAACTTTATAAAAAGACGAGCTGAGAGTATACCATTTTGCATTTCAGGGGGCGGTCGCAAATAATGAATCCGTATATGCATATTCTCTCTAATTTCCCTCATTGGCTGTGAACCGGGATAACCTACGATATCCACAGTGAATCCTTCCTTGGCGAAGGAGATGGCATGGTATTGCATTCGCGGGCTTCTGCCAATGTCACCGAGCACAAGCACGCAAACATTTTTCCGGTCAGATTTCGATCTTCTTTGATATAAACTTCTCAGATAAGAAAGAATCGGCAAAGATAGCAAAAATATCAATATGATGTATATGAACATTTCAAATGAAAAATTGCTTTTTTAATCGCGTATAAATCTTCTCAAAAGTCTAGCTCACGCAAGTCAATCTCCTCTTGCTATAATACCATATATTGTCCTTATTGTTTAAAGCTGTCGGGACCAAACATCGTTTTTATTATTTATTCCTCGCTCAATCCATCTTTTTATTCAAAAGATACATGCGTGGAATGAAGATGCAATCTGTTTTTCACTCGTTTACTGCAATAAATTCTCTCATGTAATCACGTGGCAAATTGTCTACATTTTGTATTGCAAATGCAATTTTTCTATTCTAAAACAGCTGTTGCTATGCATTCGAAAATCTGCTCGCCTAAAGACCGAATCACACTAGCGGCTCGCGGCTGCGATTGCGATTGCCTCAGCCAATCAGAAAGCATCAATTGCAAGTATGATTGGAGCGTAGCAAATCACAATCACAAACGCAATCGCAATCGCGAGCCGCTAGTGTGATTCGGGCTTAAGTAGAGCAGCATTTCATTGATCAATCGGGACAAAGAAATTTTAGTTCTTTTTGTTCTGATTAGTCAAACGCAGCCACGAAGAAGAACAGATCTAATACATACATACACATGGTTAGAAATCACACATATTGTTCTGTTCTCGATCGAAAAGGCGGGAAACGACTGGCACCTGGTACGTGGTACGTCGTGAGTCGCGGTCGCGGGTCGCGAACTGTCGACTGTCGTCGTGGGTCGTGATATTGTATTGTCGTGAGACACGAGCGGCATTGAAATATTTCGTAATAAGAGTACAAATCATTTTGCGATCAATTTGATCGCACCGTTAATAAATTCTTAGTATGCAAGTTGTTAGTTGAAGTATATATACGAGTAACGGTTAATTTATATGCATGCGTACATACATACGTTAGCATTTCGTGTTGTTAGCACGTCCGTTAGAAGTTTTATCGTTATTCCTGTTACTTTTTTTCACTTCCTGTAGAGTAACAGAAAGAAAAAATTATACCGCGCTTTTGATCGGACGAGAAAAGAATAATATATATGTAGAGAAAAAAAAGAAACATTTCTGTTATTATATCTCGAAACATGAAAGATATCAAACAGTATTTTTCCAATGACACGAGGATCGTCGACGAGAAAGCCGCTACAGATTTTGAGAAGGAGAAACAGTGGAAAACAATCACGACAAGTAAACGCGAACGCGTGAAGATTCGAATATCGCGTACCTCTTCCAAAGAGAGGACGTGCGACATAGTAGAAAGCAAAAACGATCTGATTGACAAAACGCCGAGTCCGTTCAATGGCAAGGTAAATAACGGCGAGAAAACTATGCATGATGAGACACCAAAGGCCAAACCAAAGCGGAATTTCAGGAAGGTATAGAATTTAAAATTCAATAAGAGTTGCAATTGATGGTTGATGATTTGTCGATATCAAATTGAATTTTCTTATTTTTAAGGCTCCTAAACCCACAGAAATAAATGGAAATCAATCTGAAAAAACAAAGTACATGGCACAAAATAGAAAGGAGTTAAGTGAACAATTTATCGTAGATTTAGACACGTCTAATGACAGTACAAAGAATATTAATGAGGCTAAAAATGTATCAAATGTAGAACTCTGTAATGAAGTTGATTCTCAGCGAGAAGAATCAAATGCATTTCAAGTTTTGATGAATCGTAGTAAACCAATACAGTATAAGGAACTCCCACAGCAATCTATAGAGGATATTGAGAATAAAAAGAAACTGGATGATGTCAAAGAGTTAAGATCTAGACATAAAGAAAAACTGATAGTCTTGGCTGATAAAAAAGGTTATTCGAAAAGAAAAATTGCAGAGATGGAAGAAGGTGAGAGAATAGAAAAAAATATAGAAAATCGCATGAGGTTTTTTAAAAGTGATGTCACAGACGACATTACGCATAAAAGGAATGACAGTATTGGATTATCAATTAAAAATAACAAACAACAGTCTGGGAATTTGCTGGATTATTTCAGGTAAATTAAAGTCTTTGTTATACAAAACTAACATTACAATTCTCTAAATTATATTACTATTAAATTATTACAAAGCATGTATAAGTAAATCCAGATTTTAGAATTGTATAAGAACCTTAGAATTGTTTAGAAATCTCAAGATTGCTTAAGCAGAATAATTATTATATATTCTTATTTTGCAGTAAATCACCTTTGGGGTCGACAAATGAAGATGAGAAATATGCGTCTACTTTTATCGTAAAAGCAGACGTACATCGGACTGATAATTCCGACATTGAACCTGTAGTGAAGTCAATATCGAACAGGATATATTCTAGCAAAAGATATTCAAAGTCAAAGAATTTTTCTACAGTGGATGATATTCACATCATAGCATCTGAAAATTTGTATTTAACGCAAACAGACAAGCAAGATGTGCAAAAGCGGGAGAAACCTCGTTGGTCCTTACGTATAAAATTACATTCTACAGAAGACAACGATTCTTCAAATGGTATGGTCTATGTAGTAAAAAATGTAATGGGAAACTTGTAAATGTACATAGAATGTCATACATATGATGTAAAATGTAAATAGAGTCTCCCAATGCTCATTGGTCGACGGCAATGATTTTTGTTTCACACTTTGATCGCTGATTTTGATATTTTTTAAATGAGTTTTTAACAAGAGTTTTTAATAACGATATAAAATTAATATTTATAATTTTGCATTACAGATACCACCGACGACGAATTATTTTCACCGAGAAACAAATCAAAATTTAATACCTCGAATAAATCTCGGAATTCTGTAAATATGGAAGATAAAAAAGTCTACTCGAAGGATTGTAACGGTCATATTAAAACGAAAACGCCAAACAAGGATAAGAAAGAATCAATCGGTAAACAAAAAGAGGACAATGTGCAAAACACTGCGAAAGACGCTATCGTTATCAACAACAATAGAGATGCTGATATACGGACGAAAAAATCGAACGAAATTGCTAAAGTGGAACAAAAAAACACGAATGAAACGATCATAACAATGACTGATTCCGAATGTGAAATTATCAATGAATATGTCTTGAAGAGAAAGCCGAACGAAAAACTTGCACCATTATTCATTAAACGACGTAAAACAAATCCGATTGTCACAGCAGCTAGACGTTCGTTCTTGCAATCGGACATAATCGACATAGAGAATAAGAATACAGATCGTAAGGTTCACAGCAACAATGGCATTTCTACATTACCGTTTCCCGCAATCAGTCACGTGACACAATTGGAAGATACGTCGAATTCGATTAGAGTAGAGATCGAGTATAAATTTCCGACAAAAGTCGAGAGAAAATATTTGCCTTCGATAGATGTTAATAATTATAAATGTATTTGTAATTATAGTAAAGCACCAAAAGCGGTTGAAGTGAAGATTAACGAGCCTGTGAAGGGAAACATTGATGAAATATTGTCCGAGATTGAAGAACTTTGTCCAGACGCGCGGAAAATATGGAAAACTATATCGACAATCAAGAGCGATTCGGAAAAAAAATCGCCACTGTCGCGAATGAAAGGCAGGAAGTCGAGAACGCTTGAGCGAAAAAAAATGTTAACGGAGAACATTGGAAACGAAAAAAGTCCGTTGCACGATTGCGCATGGACGTGTAAATATAAACCGATGAGCGCGGAAGAGATAGTAGGAAATGAGGAAGCCGCGGGAAAACTGAAAGATTGGCTAAGTGGTTGGAGAGCATCCTTAACGAAAGAGGATGATGGCAGTAGCGGCGATGAATTCTATTCGTCAGACTGCAGTTCCACGTGCAATAACCGTGAAGATAATCAAATAGCGGTATTGTTGGGCCCATACGGCAGCGGAAAGACAGCGAGCGTATACGCGGTAGCGGAAGAACTCGGTTACAGGTTGGTAGTCGTGAAAGTCGTAGAGCTCAATAAAAATATCATCGTATATTTTAAATGACGATTCTCCGCGCATATTAGAATTATTTAATATTAATAGTAATAAATATTTATACATTAAAA